TTTTTTTTTTTTTTTTTTATTAACATTCTAGCTTTTCTAACTAGCCTATCCCTATTGTTGGGTGTAACGCCTGATGCAGAACACATTGAAACTGTTAATCGAAATGAAAAATGAAATTGACAAAAAAAGGGCACTTCGTTTGAGTTCCTTGATTGAAACCATTTTTCTTCGAAGATTTCAGTCGCTTTTCAGCATCATGTGTAGTGTGCAGAGAATGTTCAGTATAAGTTTGTTTTAAATGTTGGTTTGCACGCCAAGTTTTTTATGTGCTCTGTAATTTTAGAATATTGATCTTTGATATAAACTATTGTATTTAACAGTTTAAATATTATCTTATTCTTATTTTACTAACTTTTTTTTTTCGATAAACAGCATTTGCTTTGACTATTTTTACATAGATAATCAACGTTTTATCCAGGCACCAAGTTTCGAAGGAAATAGTGACCAAAGGATTATGACCAACAGTAATGGAGTAGAATGTTCACAAGCTCTAGATCCTATGTGGGAACAAGCATGTTTGTTAACAAGGCTTGTTTCAAGCTCTGTAAGGATATCTGAGACTGCTGGACGAGTCATAAAGGTTCTTTATTGTTTCTGTTTTCTAATTTATTTTTGCTTCTCTTTTATACTGCTTTAGCTTAGGCTATTTTGTGCTTTAGTTGTTTTAGATTTTTTTAGCATAAGGAAGGAAATATTGGTTTTGAAGGTTTTGGTAGTATTCTTAGTGATATTCGATAATTTGATATGTTTTTGATCCCATTATCTGCTCTACAATTCCAAAAAGTATCAGCTTTAGAATATTATGCGAAATGGGGATTTGAAAATTGTTGATAAAGGAAGTGGTGTGAAAGAAGATCCACAAACTGAAGCTGACCGTGCAGCTCAGTATTGTATCGTTAAATCATTACAGAAAAAGTTTGGTGAATCTCTCAAAGTTATTGGTGAGGAGGTAATTTTATAGTAGCTTTATGCTGTTTTCTTTGTAGCACTTCAATATAACTAGTTTTTTTTTGCTAATTTTCTTTCTGTAAGCAGAATTTTTTGGTATACTTTGGGGCTTTATAATGTTTAACTTACTCTTTTAATTCACACTATATTCAGGATTATACATCTGCTGTTGAGGAACTGGAGATTAACTATAACGATGAAGTTTTGAGGAGGGACAAGGATTGCCCAAAAGATTTGCGAAATATTGATCTCTCTGAAGTAGGTGGTTGATTTCTGAAACTTGATTGAAAGTACAAGTTTTGCAATGGAGTAATTTTAGTGAACTTTGAAAGCAACAAATTAAAAAACGTTGGCGAGTGACATAAGAGGATATTAGATTACTGCTACCACTTTAATACAGACGTAACTCTATAGATTTATAGGTTGTTGTGTGGGTTGATCCTTTGGACGGGACTTGCGAATTTGCAGAAGCGCATCGAACAGGGTCTCGTATGTTACTTTCTGTATTTTGTGCATTTTGTTACCAGTAAAGCATCTTAAGTTGCTCTTAATGTAACCTTTGTACAAAAAATAGAGGATACATTGATACAGTTGCTGAATAAGTCTTCTACTTTTGTTGTTCTTGCAGCGTTGCTGCAGCATATAACTGTCTTGATTGGCATATGTTATAAAGGAAGGGCTGTTGCGGGAGTAATACATCAACCATATTTTGGAGAGAACCATTCAGGTCGAACAATATGGGGCATTGTTGGTTTGGGAGCTTTTGGGGTTGAAATCTCTAAACGTAAGTTTAATACGTATTTTAATACCGGCGTTTCAGAGACTTTACTGAATTCCTTCACGGTCGACCAAGTAGTTTCTTTTACTCTATGCTTAAGCCAGAGTTTAAAAAAATTGTCTGTTCAGGAAAATGAGTTGATGAATTAGCCAATCTTCTTCTTATTAAATCACATTTTTCAGGCTGCGAAAAAAGGTTGGTCGTAACTACTCGAAGCCATTCTACCAAAACCGTAACAGAGGCTTTGGAAGCTTTAAAATCTAAGGGGCTTCTTGATTCTGTAATCCCAGTTGGTGGGGCTGGTTACAAGGCATTTATTTTTATTTTTTGTTATTTGTGACTGTCCTCTAATTCTATCGTATCCTTAGAAACTTCTTTGAAATTAATATTTTCAGGTGCTTAGATGCTTAGAAGGTGCTGCTGCATACGTTTTTGCTAGTCCAGGTTGCAAGAAGTGGGACACGGCAGCACCTGAAGCAGTCCTTATTGCGGCAGGTGAGGTATTTTTAAGAACATTGAGTTTTTTGAAGGGTTACCGTATTTTTAGTTTATAAAATTCTCATTTTTGGCTGAAGGTTTTAATATGTCAGTCGCCAGCAACTGTCTCTCATAAGTTCATAGTTTTTAATTCCTCATTCTGTTTTATACCAGCTTCAGGAGGCAACTTAACGGATGTATCAGGTCGCAAACTTTATTATGGACCAGATGCACAATTTATGAATAGTGGAGGTGTAGTGGCTACGTCGAATTGGGTTAACCACAAGGTTTTACATAAATTTACTTTTTCCGAATCGTTTTTCAGGACATTTTTAGCTTTTTTTTTTAACGACGGGACGACGCATCGTCCGCATTTTTTGGGTCTGTAAGTCCCTATGGTTTCTTGATGTTTTTTGTTCAAGGTTCCTGTTTTAAGAAATCTTCTATACTGCTGGTAGTTTTTTTCAGGATTATATCGATGCAATTCCAGATTCTGTCAAAGCTACTTTACCAGAGCTGATTGCAAATAAAGGTCACGTACTCAGTAAATAATTCATTTCTGTTCCATTTTTTGACACTTTTTGACTTTTTCGGACAATAATTGCATTCGTCGTTATTTTTTTCCTCAGGTTTTTTCTGGCTATAAGTTTTTGGAGCCAAGTTAGTGGAAGGTTGACTGACTGGTTTATAATTTCATTTTCGTAATTTTATGTTGGAAAATATCTTGATTTCTTGATTGTATTGAACTAATTGTTATTTTTGCAATCTAATAGAATAGGTCTTTTATTTGTCTTCAATCTCTAAACATTTTTATTTTTAATCATATTCGGTTGTGGAATAGGAGTCATTTTTATTCAAGAATTCTCTGCTCGATGCGGAGTAGATGGCTATAGCATTTCGTTTTGTTAGCTTTAAATGTTTTCTTATTTGTTTAAAGATAATAAGTGTAGAATTGTCTATAACCATTTGTAAGATCAGTTTTATTTAGAAGACCCAGGTAGATGGCCTCATTTTTGAAAAAAAGTAAAGGCACAAGAAACCGGATTTATGATTTACGGTAAAAGGTAAAAAACCTAATTGTTCTTAATGTAGTGAAGCGTTCAGATCAGCGTCAATTCCAACACTGGCCTTGTGAATAATACTGTGGAATTTGAAAGCGAATTTGGTGACTGTGGAAAGTACTTAGCACGTTTCGTGCTCTGTCATTTTATTCTGCTGAGATGTTTTAGTGCTTTGCAATTTCATGCCCCTCTTTGAAGAAAATAGAGTGTGTTATAAGGTGGTTCAGCTTTACAGGGCGAGTGATTCCTCTTTGCTCTGTCCAGCACGTTTGTCGTTTTTCAGTTGCCGTTTTTATCAGAGTGGTTAGCCTTTATATGTCTTTGTCAAAGTATAAGTTTTTTTTACTTGCACAGCTGGTGATGATGAAAAACTGGTTGGCGGTTTCACTTTAAAGGTGATGCAGGTGGAGGACTTGGAATAATTATTGATTCTAGAACGACGGTAAGTGAAGACGCATAAACGACTGGATAAATGGTTGGGTGTAGATAAATAGTTCAGCGTATGTACTGAACAAGAGATTGTACCAACACCTGGAAATTGCGCTTATTCATTTTCGAGACAAGTCAGGCAAAATCCCCTTTGAGATTTAAATGGGTTTTTAATTTATAGATTTTTCTGGTACATTAGTTAAACAGTAGCGACCAATTTTGCGTGAGCAACTGTATTGCTTTGTGTGATATTTTATTTTTCGAAAGTCGGAGAGATGTTGGAGTTGCTGTAAATATGTTACCCTCAGGGCTCTGCTTTTGACTCCAAAGTGGCTCTCTTTGTTAACAAATAGGATCAACTGGAAAGAAACCTATTTTTGTTACGACAAAACTGCTTCCATTATTTCAAGTTTTTGGTTTAGGAGGAGCACTAGTAGCTTACGCATTAGGCAATCTGACAATGAGGCTTTCAGCTATCGTAATGAGAGCAAGTACTCAACTAACCACGGTCGTATCATACCTTACAGAGGCTCTCTCACTAGACGAAATCAGTTTGGAAATCATGAAGCAGTGGGACAAATTCAGGAAATCTGGTCGCTTCATGTAATATACCCGGTTTAAAACAATTTGCTTTGCATGCATTAAAGATGTGTTGATTCACTACTCGAACTCTGACAGTTGCTAACATCTAGTCTGGGGAGTCTTAAGTATCTTAACCAGTATCAGAGGTGTTATTTCAGCACGATCAAGTAAAGAAATAAGAAAGTCGGGTGAGAAACTGTTAACAACAACTAATTATGCTGAGTCTAGTTTTTTTCATCGTTGGAAACTGATGCGCTGACAAAAAAAAAAAACTTACTTGGAATGACTGTTTTGTACAAGAGAACTTACATTGTTCCTTTTTTTCTTTATTAAAGGATTTTGATACATTTGTGATACAGTTTTATCATGAATGGTATAATTTAAAAAATTTTTAATGACTTTGACACTGAAAAAAATTTGATCATTAAATAGCAAAAATGTAACGGCAGTACTGTGCCATACAGCTTCATGGTACTTTATTGTTAACTTGATTTGTTTTAACAACACATTATTCTGGTTAGTCCTGGTGGTGCTGGTCTGTTATACTTATGTTATCTATATTCGTTTCCTTGACCATTACATTTTCAGACGCATCTTTACTCTGCAAGTGAATTTATAGGTGGGGTTTTGAAGCGTGTAATAGTTTTGCAATGCCCCGATGGCTTACTTATAATTTTTGAAAGGAAGAAATGCGATCTTCTAACAGCTCGATGATTTTGCACTTGTTATCCTTCGTGAAAGAAGCGGAAACATCTTTGAGTAGTAGCCAGGGATCATCATAGTATTTGGAGTACAGTTTGCTCTAAAAAACACAACTTCTTCTTGTTAAAAGTAGTGTTGGTATTGTAAATCTTGAAATAATTTTGTGATTTTCTTTTTTTTATTTGATTATTGGTTAATCAGCAAAGCCAAAAATGTTCTAACAGTCCTTATATGCGATTAAGGTGCTTAATGTATCTGCAATATTTAATTTTTTTATACTTGTGTAAAATCTCCTTCCATGCTATCGGGTTTCAAGGAAGCAATTCGCCAACCTTTCATAGTTAATTCAAGCGTGTACGACCGACCTAAAGCAAGCATCTTTTGCGATACAGGTGACAATCATAGCGCTGATAATTGAACTACAATTCGTCGAACATTTAGTCTGAGTCTTGGACAACATGGATTAACACTGTTGAACATTCAAAAGGTTATTAACTGCTATTCGTGTCGTAACAGCTATTTACATTAATTAAGAAAAAATATAACTTTTTTTTCTTTTTAATGTTTCAGCACGTTTATGATTTATTTTTATTACTGCCAAGAATTGTCAGTTACCAATGGGTCAAACAGTAAAGTTGGTAAACATTTAGTAACCTTCCAGTGTTGTCATATTCAGAAAAAGGATATGGTTTGTTTGCGGCAGCATCTCGGCAATGCTGATCTTCGCAACCTCTGGCTTCAGTTCACGGATTGCAGCTACAGCTTCTTCTTCAAGCATAATATTTTCGTTTGCATCGCTTTTCAAGCTCTGAATTTGTTCCAGTCGATTTTCCTTGCTAATACTTGCAAGTAAAGGCGGTGTTCTAAAGAAAGTTATCGAAGCAGTAAAAGTCCCAACAGCATTTTCAAATAAGTTCTTTATTTTCGGTTTATATACGAATACTTGTAGTTAGGAAAGTTGAATAGGAAGTCTTCTGGTAGCACTTTTCCGGTCCCGTTATATAAACTTATATATCATTTTCAGTTTTATCAGATAGCATTTTGGCATTAACAGTACAGAACGGTCAGCTCCAATTTTCGAATTTCATCAACCGTAAGAAAGTAAACAATTAACAAACAGAGGATGTATTAAGACCAATTCCCAAAATTTAAAGTTTGGGATGAAGTATACGCGACAAACTGTTAAGTGCTCTTTCCAAGCTGCACTTGTTATTTTTGCATAAAAGAAGCCGCCTTTCTTGCGTATTTATTAAATTTTTTTGGCGTATACTCCAGTTTGCGCACCGATACTCTCCAGCAAAGAATAACAACTTACTCTCCATTTGAAAGCTCCAGTGATCGTTCCATTAAGGCAAAAGCAGATTTTGGCGTCCCTTTTCTGAAAAGACTCCACACATCCGAGGTCAAAACTTCATCGCAAAAACGAGAAAGGTACGCTGCACACGTCTAAAAAGGTATTTGTAATAGGAGCATCATGTATTTCGAGTTAGAAAGCTAAGATATTGCGTTATAAGATATTTTTTAAGGACGGATTTTTTGTCAAGAATATGGCTGGCCGTTTTTAAGAAGAAAAAGTTTGTAAGGAAGATAGGATGGTAATAAGTTATTGAAGTACTTGAAACTGCAAGAAACTTAGTTTAGTTAAGGCAAGAGACGCTACATACATCAATTAATTTTAATGAAAACTTCTTCTGTGACAACAGTAAAGCAGCATTGAAGCCGACAAGGCCGTTCATTATTTCGTAGCGTACTTCATCGCATTTGGCAGTTAACGAGTCAATCTCATATTTTTTCGCTAAACTTTTTACGTCATTCAGTACATTGAGAGCTCTTGCCATAGAACCGGTATACAAAAATTCCACTGCTGCTAACACCTAAACGTAGATATTACTATTCTTTCGATAGAAGAGAAAAGCAATGACGATATGACCTGCAATAGGTGTCAAACTGAAGTTTATTCAAGTGATTCTGCATAATTAAAATCAAGTAGTGTTAAAAAAAATTCTTGAGTTTTAAGTAAATATAACAAGAAGAATCGCAGTGAGTTTTGTGTGAAAAGTTTTCAAAAGCAGATACTTTTGATGCTCATAGAATGAAGTATAGCTCCTATGTGATTTTGTAGTTACGAAAACCCAACCGAGTTATAGTCATAGTCATCAATTTCGATCACAGAGTCACCAGCTGAGGGAGTTGGTGATTGAGCCAAAAAAATTTTGTTCCACAGTTTGCTGTTTGCTGCCAAAACGCACCGATGAGCCCTTATTTCATGATCCAAAACCTCTAACAAAAATGTGAAAACTTAGCATAATTAAAAAATTTTATTAATAACATTATTCGTTTTAATAATTAGTTTAAAAATTTAGGTTTCCGATAGTTTTTGTAAAATTACAAAAAAAAGGTTCTTTTTTAGAATGTCTTTAATATTGCATAGATAAAATAACATTTTTGAACATCGCAGAATACTAAATGAAAGTTTATAAAAGATTTTCTGCCAAGCTATTTAGAAAAAAAAAATTGTGAGCTAAAATTTCGCTGTCTGGCACGATCAAAGCTCGACAGAATTTCTTATTAAAATAGCATTTAGAAGCAGTGGCCCATTAATAAAGACCATAAGTTTGAAAGCTGTGAATTGCACCTTAATTCGGCAATCTGTTTCTACTGAGTTCTCCAGCATTCGCCGTAAAGCTGCACTTGCAGTAGCTTGATCATTTTTCGTAACTTCTTGTTCAACACTGTCAAGTACGGTGAGCTCTAGCCTGAGTATGATGGTTAGGCAAGAAAGAGTTGACACTAAAGCACGATTCAGCTGTAATTAACAATTCCAGTATGATAATTGACACGAAATAGAAGGAAAACCATGTTTGTTTTAAAAGAATAATGACCGTGTTTTTAATGTTTATGGCATGATTTCTGAACAAACCCTTGCAACCAATTTCCAATCGGCACCAATGGTTATTAAACGAGGTTTATGCAAAATTGGTTCTATCCTATCATCACCAATATTTCCAGCAGTAAGAAAATAGCATTCCACGTTTACCTGAAGTAATCAAATGGTAAATTAAATGTTGGGCGACAATTTGTCATAGTACTATATTTAACCTCCAAGATGAAGTGAAAAAGAAAAAAGCTTACCGGATTTACGACGTCTGCTGTACGAATACGTAATTCGCTTTTGCTTGAAAGTTGTAAAAAGAACGTGTAATTTTGGTTGCCAAATTTATCGGAAACCAAATGGTCGTCAGAAGTCGACAAATTTTCACCCCCAATCTACAATTAAGCATTATCATATGGTATTTAAAAGACACATGAAATAAAAGTTGTTCCTTTTTCGCGTACTGTCAACTTACATTCCGTATCTGCCAACAAAATTCCAAACTCGTTGTTGAAAGCTGTGTTTCCTCTTTCATCATTTTGTCGACTGTTTCAGCGCGATGATATACTTTGCTGGGGAAAAAGTCTGAAAAAACGTTGAGGTACCATTAACACACTCAGCTTTAGAAAAATTTATTTACGTAGACATATTGCTATGCTGTTGCGTTTTTAAATCCCAAGACACTAACTTTCAAGCTTGAGCAA